TTATAATAACAGTGGTTTTACAATTTTTAAAAAATGAATATGTCTTTGAAAGTATCCACCTTTCCAGACACACTGCCAACAAACAGCTCAAGCTAATGATTATTGACTATGCGGTTAGAAAGCACTGCCTGATCCTGCAGTCTGCGAAGGCTTCCTTTACTGGATGCATGTCTTGCAGTGTCTGGAGGATCCATTCATCACAATGATGGTACACATAAAAAAGGGGCCCAGATTGTGTCCTAATAGGCAACTATCCATGTGTCATTCACCCCCACCCAAACCCTGTGACCTCTGCAGATACCTCTAGTGTGCCTTGCTTTGGGTTTTGCTCCATCATGGAATAGCCAAAATTACTCCAATGTGCTGAGATATGGCTCATATATGGCCTCTTCCAACCTGATGATTCTATGTTCTAAGTTCCCAGCCTTCCCCAGACAGACATCCAAGAGAACTGTGAGACTGTGGAATTGCCAGGTTGAGAAAAGCTGGCCTATTTTTAACATTTTGAACTTCTCCACATTTGCAATTCTAAGAGAAATAAGAATGGCAATTTGATCAAAAAGAGAGAATGAGGAGAAAGAGGGCGATAGAGAGAGATTTAGATATGGATATTTTAGGAAATACAAATAGAAAGGTAATTTTTCACATTAATATCACACAGGATGTTAAATCTGAAGAAAAGAAAAAATGGATTAATGAGTGAACACATACAAAAAATACATAGATCAGAAGTAAATTAATTTATGCATCAAATGATTATTTTTAATATGTTGTTTTTAATATCCCTGCTATATTGTATACTGCCTGAAGTCTTTAGACTGGGCAGGCTACAAAATCTGTAAATAAGCAAATAACCAAATGAATAAAAGCTGCCTTTGGGATAAAAAAAATCTTCTGATTCCTTCTTCATATTCTTTTTTCATTCCTAGGTACGACCTATTTCTGTCTGCAGTGAGAGTTGTTATCCTGGTTTCAGCAAGAAAGTGAAAGAAGGAGAGCCATTTTGCTGCTATGACTGCATCCCGTGCCCAGAAGGGAGGATTTCAACTCAGGAAGGTAAGAAAATGTTCATTTGGTCCCAATTATTCTAAATAAATTCACTGAATAAAAAATATACTACATCTTTAATACTTCAAAGTAGCAGGAGGCCCTAATATATTGAGAAAACACTTCCTAAAACATGCAATTGGTAGCTTCTGGAGAGTACAGTGTTCAAGCAGATTCCTAATTGATTATTGTGATTGTTTCTTGAATTAAAAAATAGTTTTGAAAACTTATTAGACATAGTTTAATAGCTTTAACACTTTTTAAACTCATAGTTAAATAGTTTTAAAAACTTATTAAACTTTTAATAATTAGAGTTATTCTTCAGTATCCAAAATAGCTTTAAAAACTATTTAAAATAGCTTTAAAAAGGATTTTTAAAATTGTTTTGGGACATTGAAGGATAATTCCACTTATTAAAAGATTTAAAGGATAGTCCACTGAATTTTACTTTCATTTATTACTGAAAGATACAGTCCCCATTAATTTGGCACAAGTTGCAAGATTTTGTTCTGATGTCAGAGTCTGCACACTCAATTTAATATAGCATGAAAAATAGAGATGAAACCTATAAAACCTGTTGAGCTATCTAGGTAACTAAACCCTAAAATCCTATTGTCTATAAAACAATAGGAT